GCAAAGGGGCGCCGCCTGTTGCCGCTGAGTGGCGCCGCCTGTTGCCGCCGGCGGCCCACTCAATATCGATTGAAAGCCATATATGACATATTGTTCACAGGCTGAAGTGGATTCTGATGCGTGAATCTGGTAAATTATATCACAAGTACCCATATGCTGAGCCATATTTGGAATACTGTGTTGCGTACACTCTCGTTATATACTTAAGTTATAACTCTCGGGTGGTAACCGTCCCCATATATGTTATATGTCATCACATATAACATGGAGAGAAAGGTTGCCTACGGGCAGATATATTCCCCTTAACGGCAGCTAATGTCATATTTGATATTCCTTACTGTCTATTGCTGGACTAAACAATCTCAAAATGAGTATTACATATTGCTTTGGCTGTATATTACTTCTTACGGTTTGACATTCACGACCGGGTTCAGGTCAGCATCATATATTGAGTTGTCCGATGTGTGTACCCCTTTCGGGATGTCACGATGTGCGGTAGGTGGGACAATCACGTGATGCACGGTAATAACCGCGAATTCGAATGGCCGCCATCCGTGTTTCGCAGAATCGCAGTGCTGAGATTCAGGTTTCCTGACAGCCGGTCTGCACAATGAGCAAAGTAGTCTTTGGTGAGTCGTCGAAGGTCTGCTTTGGTATTGCTTGCTAACGGCCTACTTAGTTGGCAATGTCCCATATAATATGGGTGAAGTATGTTAAGGCGTCCTCGTGCCGGAAGATAACCGCATACTTATACCCACAAAGGAGCAATTAATCGATGTTTTCAAGTCAGTTGGGCAGGTTATTGGCTTCAGGTATTTGATCTATGTCTATGTCTTGTTTCCCAACTCAACAGCTCGTCGTAAGACTCGTGTTCGATAGGGAGACGGGGAAGCCGCGCGGATACGGATTTTGTGAATTCACGGGTACGTCTGACTTGACAGCAATGTAATTCTATAAACAACATTCAATATACCCAATCCTGATGATAACCCCATTGTGACATGGCTCAACACTTAGATCACGAGACGGCTATGTCCGCCGTCCGAAACCTCAACAATATTGACGTTGGAGGGCGTCCGCTGCGGATAGACCTTGCTGATTCGGACCCCTTCCTAGAGGGAAAGACGACAGTCCGCGGTGAGATCGTCGACAGCGGCGAGTCAAGAGCCCAATGGCGCGAACGTGAACGTGACGTGCACAGAGGCGGTGGAGGCTCCGGCGCCTCAAGAAATCAAGATCCCAACGCTTTTCTGGCGGCAATTCCTCCAGGTGTACCGGTGCCACCAGGAAAGACACCTCCAGATGTGATCTCACAAGTTCTCGCTGAGATGCCTCCCAGCCAAGTGATTGAAGTGCTGGCGCAAATGAAGGTTCGGCCTGAGTACAGGCAAAAGCACTTGAATTTATGTGCTAAGTCTCTTGCTTTTACCTTTAGGCGTTTGTTATCACGCATCCGGAGCAAGCACGAAAACTACTGATGGCGCATCCACAGCTCGGGTATGCCCTCTTCCAAGCCATGATCATGCACAAGATTCTTGACGAAGCAATTATCACGGTAAGGTCCGTTTTTATTCTGCGATACATGGCTCTAACGTTTCCACCAGCGCATGCAAGCGGCTGCTGCCGCAGCGGCATCGAGACCACCTCCACACGTTACTCCCCCGACGCCGTCCGTGCCTCCCCAACCTCCGTTCCCGCCGAACATGTACAACCAGCAACCGCCCGGTATGCATCAAGGGCAGCCCATGCTGCCCCCACCGTCTATGTCCATGCCCCCGCCGGTCCACAGTCAACATCAAATGCCCCCTATGCCACCATACCAGACACAAGCCCCCCCTCCACACGTACCTCCTGCGCATGTACCGCAGTCACAACTACCTTACTACCAGGCCCCGCCACCACAGCCGCCTACGCCGACCCAGCCGCAGCAAGGCTTGCAGATCGATCCGGCGTCGCAGGTAAAGATTGCGCACTGCCGTGGCTATCATACTTCATCTCATATTCTCGTACAGGCCATGCTTCAGCATGTCTTGAAAATGTCCCAGCAGCAGATCGATGCGCTAGATCCCCCGACTCGGGCGACCGTGAACCAAATCGTTTGTCTTTTACTTCGCATTGTCCACCTGAGCTTCTCTAACTTCGTGTGCACAGCGGTCGCAATTCGCTCCACATCTGATGCAGCAGCAATGAAGTTTTGGAACATGAGCGGTGGTCTAAGTAGTCAAAGATACCGTCCATCACAGCATTTCTAAAAAACATGCACTTCGGTACTTTACACTAGTTTATTCTGGAGACTCTTGGACACTTTCAATGCAACTAGTTTCTGCGCGATCTCGTCTAGCGGGATCGTTTCGCTCCTCGCCTTCGTACCCACGTCATCTCGGTTCCGGACATTCACAGAGTGGTTGTCCAATTCGTCTTGGCCGACAACTACATCACAATGATGTATTCAGTATTCACTCACCTTTGTACATATAGTAGCACCAAGCTTACCCAGGATGAAATTGTATTGGGCGATTTCTCCGTTACGGATTTTCTTGGGTAAGGTGTTCTCCCCATTATCAACGTCCGCAAAGATCCCAAGACTACTCAGATGCCGCGCCACTTGGGATGCATACTCTTTCTGCAGGAGGCAAGGTGGCTTCAATACAATGACGATCGATACAGCAAATGGACGTACGTATGGCACAGAGACAGGGATTACCAGGACTTGACGTGGTGAGAGCCAGAACGGCCTGTAAATCCCCTCGTGTCAGATCAGGCCCAATGCTAGAGAACATTTGGAAGTACCATTTCCCGGCGAAGTGCTCCGTGATGATAGCTATGAACCGCTCGAGACTGCCCAGGATAGCACGATGGATCATGACCGGCCTCGTCGGCTTGTCAGGGTTGGGCGCTTCATCACCGCTACGGTACTTCAGATTGAAGCGCTCAGGTAGCTGGAAGTCCAGCTGTATGGTAGCGCATTGGAAGGAGCGCTTGAGGGCGTCGCTGATCGTGATGTCGATCTTCGGTCCATAGAATGCGCCGTCTCCAGGGTTCAGCTCCCATTGACCAGGGTAGAAGGTGTCGAGCGCCTTCTTCAATTGCTGAACAAACGCTCAGATCCTGCGCTGGTAGAGGGGTACTGAGCATGCAACCTACCTCTTCCGCGAAATTCCACGTCTCAATCGTGCCCAGGTAGTTATCTGGGCGCGTGGACAGCTCTAGCTTGAACTCGAAGCCAAACAGCCCATAGACATGCTTCATGAAATCGAACAGCGCCCCAATCTCGTCTTCGATCTGCCAAAACCCACTTAGGCGCACTCGCATCGATCCGGCAGCGTGAGATCCTCACCTGCGACGGCATGCAGAATATATGCGTGTCGTCTTGGACGAACCGCCGCACTCGCGTGAGCCCCGTCAGCGCGCCGCTCGCCTCGTTCCGGTGGATGATCCCGAACTCCGCCATGCGGATGGGGAGCTCCTTGTAGCTGCGGTCGCGCGAGTCGAAGATCAGGCAGTGACCCGGGCAGTTCATCGGCTTGAGCGCCCACTTCTCCTTCTCGATGTCGAGGGTGAACATGTCGTCCTTGTAGTTCTGCCAGTGCCCGGAGGTCTCCCAGAGCTTCGAGTGGTACATGTTTGGTGAGATCACTTATGAGCGTGAGCGAGAGGGTGAGTGCGATGGAGGGCCCGATTGTTACCTTCTTGGTAGTCCCGCTTATAGTACTCTGACTGTATAGGGACGTTAGTTGAGGCTCACGGAAAATGCTGTCTTGTGTACTCACCCTCATGAGCTCCATGAGCGTGTTGTATATCCGAGTACCGTGCGGTAGCCAGAAACAACTTCCAGGACTAAGGTCATTAAAGAAGAATAGTTCTTGCTCCTATGATAGCGTCAGTAACAGAAGTGCAAGTCATAGTAAGCTCGTATACCTTGCCTATCTTACGATGATCGCGCTTGGCGGCTTCCGCAAGGAATGCCTTGTACTCCGACAGTTGCTTCTTGTCCGGGAAAGATATCCCGTAGACCCGTTGTAGCGAGTCGTTGTTCGAGTCTCCGAGGAAGTACGACGAAGAGTTCTGCAGGCGGTGAGGGAGGATGGTCACTAAGTCTACTCCCGCTTACAAGATGGCATCAGCGAACCTTGGTAATCATGAACGCCTTGATCCTTCCTGTATGTGGGATGTGCGGCCCGACACAGAGATCCACCATCGGACCACAACGGTAGACTGTCGTGGAGCTGCCGTCAGGGATTTTCGTCTGTATTAGATACTGCTTATATTTATTGTACTTAAAGCCTAGCGATTAGCACAACGCAAAGTCGCGTACGAGTAATAGTACTCACATTGAACATTTCGAGCAGTTTCTCCTTGGGTACCACGAGCCGTTCGAATTTCTGTCGTTCTTTTATAGCCGACTCCGCCACTTTCTCGAGCCAGGGATAGTCAGCTTGGACGACTGGACTACGTGGACGTTACGGTAGCCTGCCAGCATCACATTAAGAAGATCATACCGGTCCTCAATGCCCATTTCGTAGAAGAATCCATCATCTGTCGGGGGGCCCAGGCACAGGTGGCAGCCATAGTGCCGTTCTGCAGCTTCACCCAGGACGTGCGCGGACGAGTGCCAGAAGACCTTCTTCCCTGCGGGGAAGTGAGAATTGGACTGATCACTATGATGAATGAATGTGCACCTTCTGGATGTTCGAAATCTAGCAATTCTAAGTTGCATGAACGCTCCAGCGGCCTTTCTAGATCCCACAACTCGCCATCCACCTAGAGGCGGATCCATTGGTTTGGGTTGGAGAGTGAGTGGAGAAAGGTACGTCCCTTGGCAATAACGACGCGTTCCGACAGACTCTTGGAGAGCTCCTTCGCAACGTCCATCGGAGACGTTTCCCAGCTTGTCCCCTGGCGCTCAGATCCATCCGGGAGCGTGATGTGTATCGTCTGCCGTGGTTGTGCTGCATAGCGGTTGGATAATAAGGATATTTAGATGAGAGGGGACTCACATTTCACCCATTCGTCGTACTCCGTCTTTAGCTGCTCGAAGATTTTGATACGGTGATCGAAGAACGCGGGTGGGGGGTTGAGCTAGTACGCGTCCGTTCAGCGCACCTATCTCGCACTGTTTCCGCAGGTCACGAACCTCCAAAGGATGAGCAGACGCAGATGCGTCAGGTTTCTTCTTGTCCTTCGGTTTCTTTGGCTCCTTCGCGTGCTGGGCCTCCAATGCGGGAACCTGCAGCTTCGCAGAAGACTCTACTGGGTGCACGTCGGCCATGCCTCTTCTCGCTAAAGGTGTTCGTAATCGTGCTCGAGGAAAGTATATACCGCGTCTGAGGGGAAAGGAAAGCCTGAGTCGAGTCTGCATACACAATCCGAGTCAGATGCGTGAAGGCACTCGGGGAGTGCCGTCTATCTAGCTTGATCTGCTACATCTACATCGTCTTCTCGTGCTCGCTTTATTATCATCGCTATATTCCACAAATCCTGCATCCGGTGCACGACATTCAAGGGGATTATGTCTAATCTCTGCGGAAGAGGATATCTGTGATGCAGGTTGCGATGAGCTCGGTGCTCGTCAATGTCAGAAATTCGTCGAAGGATCCAGCGTGTTCAGGACTCGTATCTTTTGCTTCAATACAATTGGCCTTGGTTTCAAATAGCAGATTCTTTCAAGACTGCCAGGCTTACGGACTCTTTTGGTCTCATCAAGGGTGCACGGGGATGACTTAGAGTATGGCACTGGCTAGTCTACAGCTCTCGCGAACCACGACTTCCAATGAGAGCTCTCGGCTCTCGTAGCGGATAGTTCTTCACTCGCGTGCATTTTCTTGGATGCTTATTCACCGTTGTCGTCTACACCATGAATTGCAGGATGTGTAACTGATATCCTCGCATGTGATATTCTCCAGAACGTCGACGCGACTCGACTTGCGACGGTTGCTCTGCGCAAGTCTGTTTTCCGTCTCCACAACCTCAATCGCTGGAAACCTGACGTATCCTTGTATGCAAGCCTTGGGCGAGATTTCCTTGACGAAAACCTATGACTGATGCGGGGGACGTTCGCGGTATCAACGGTTCTCCCCGCTGGTCTGATGACAGGCGCGAAGTGCGACTCTGCGGGAGTTCATGTCGCCTTCCTCGCATCCTGCGCGGTAGGGAATAAGGAACATGAATATGCAAATCACGAGAACTGGAACAATGAGCCTTGTGCAAGGCGGGATCATAGATGCTTCTCCTCTGAATTTGCTTAGCCATAGGTCATATGAGGGTAATATCCTTCTGGGTTTGAACCCCGAGCCTGTCCAGGGCACTCGGACAAGATGCGCGGTGCAAGCTCCCGCTTCTTACTCGCTCTCGCGCTTTATGCTTCTCAGGTTCTGGCTCAATCACAATCACCAGCGGGAAATATCGTCAACTCGGGCTACGCGAGCTATACGGGTAACGTCTCCTACCCAGACACAGCCGCATACCTCGGGATCCCATATGCCGAGCCTCCGTCGGGAAACCTACGGTGGCGTGCACCGCTGCCCTTGTATACCACCCGGGTAGCGGACGCGGCGGGCGGACAAGTCGTGAACGCGACTAAGTAACCCAATTTTTGCGTCCAGGGGTCCAGTGGACGTTAGTGCTGTGAATTCTTTGGGGGATTCCAGTGGATTGACAACATGTATACATAGCCGGGGAGCCAGATGGTGCAGGGATGGAAGACTGTCTCACCCTGAACGTATACGCACCTTACGGTACTACAAAAGGAAGTAACTGTGCGTCGTGATATCTGAACACGATTAGACGCCCTCGATGTTGACTGCGTTGAAAATCATAGTGCCCGTTCTGGTCTATTTTCATGGCGGAGGTAATTTCTATGATTTTCGAGGTTACTGCTTTCATGTACCACTCCCATCCAGGCTGGTTCTTCGGCAACCCCGCTAACTGGCCGTTTGACCATTGGATCCACCAGAGCCCAACGTAGTCGTAGTCTCCGCGTGTTACCGGCTCGACGCTCTCGGCTTCTTCGCACACCCGGATTTCGCAGCAATGTTGGCTTTCTGGACCAGATCCAGGCTTTGAAATGGATAAGCCAGTATATTGATACATTTCGTGGGGATCCCACGAAGGTGACTATCAATGGGGAGAGCGCTGGGGGATCTGCGGTGGAGCTGCATCTAATTGCAAATGAAGGGGGTAAGCCGCTGTTCTCTGGTGCCATTGCCCAGAGTGTTTACCGATTCCCATTGGTGCCGCCTGAGCAGACTGTCGTACCTATCCTGTGCCCTAAATCGTTTTTCTTCCGCGAGTATAATTGTTAACACAAAGGGTAACTTCGACTTCTACGCCAACTTCTCCAGATGTGGCAGTGGTAGCCTGGCGGAGCAGATGGCCTGCCTGCGGAATGCGAGCGTCAGTACATTGGCACGTGCCCAAGACGCCGTTATGTACAACTAGTCAGTGGTTCGTGGGTCTTGGAGTATCATCGAATCACTGATCTTGACTTCAGCACCGGGTCCTACAGGGGATCCCGCCCTGTACTAGACGGAACCGTCTTCACCGACTATCCCAGGCGGTTGTTCCGCAGTGGGCAATTCAAGAAGGTCCCCGTGATTGTTGGGTAAAGGTTGCGTTCCTGCTGCTGTGTCAAAGGCACTCATTTGAAGTATCGGTATCGGCAGTGCTGTCTCCAACGAGACGTTGGCAAACGGCGCCTCCATACCCGAGGCCTTGAAGTCTTACTTCCCCGAGCTCACCGACGCAGAGATTGATGACCTCGTCGCACTATACCCTGCATCGGACTTCGTGTCTACAGACTAACAGACGCGCACGGCCTTAGGAGACCCATCTGTGCGGTGCCCGGTGAGCCAAGAAGCTAAAGATTCCCGTGCAGCAGTTCATATGTTCTTTCGAGCGCACGATAATGGGTGAAGCCGTCTCAGCGATCGACAAAGCTTGGGCATACCGTTACAACCAGGTAAGCCTTGCTAATCCGCCGGGCGACACTGCGGTAGAGCATGCATCAGAGAATTACATGATGTTCGAGGGGACGAGCACTGGGTAGGTTTACTTGTCTTTCTCTGGGTTCTTGGCTTTCTCTCATATTCTTTCCATCGCTGATAGGTTTAACGGAACGACAACGTTCACGCGGCTGACGCCTGTCGAGCAAGCTTTTGCCGCAGAGCTGATCGCGTACTGGCTCTCTTTCATACACTCGGGCGACCCTAACACGTACAAACTTGACCGCTCGCCCGAATGGTCGCAGTATAGTACTGCAGCGCGCAACCGGATTGTGCTGCAGGAGGGTCCGCCAAACTCGAGCACCGAGAGCGGGAGCTTCGTGGAGATTGAACCAGATGTTGAGCGGACAAGGTGCGAGTTTGTGGGCAAGCTGGATCATATGCAAGCGTGAAATGAGGTGATGCGAAGGCGGCTGTCTAGAGGTTGCATAGGTACTACTTAGTTCAGCGTACTTGGCGATATGACCCATACGGGAAGATTTGTGGCTATCGGGCGCTTGCTTGCGATCAGGTCAACGTTCCCATCAAAGCAATCTGGCAGTCCTGCCTATGAATCTTTTTGACCCTACGTTGTCTGTCCTGCGGTGATCCACAACACCGCCAATTTCTCGCTCGTGTGGAACCATGCACCATGTCGCGACGCGTGTTGATGTCTTGCAATTGCTTTATTATATTGACGTCCTACCTCCTGGACGGCATTTCTAACGTTCTACGCACATCTTTGCTACGATCGTGTCGCATCGGCCTTCGGGAACAGGGGAAACTGGTGCTATTAGGGGTGCTCAAAAATTGATCGTTCGCGTTCGATCGTTGTGCAGCAATCCTAAAGTGGACTGACCGCCAGATCCGTCGCTCACAGAGGACGAACTCAACGAACTACTATCATTGGGGGGGAGTTTGACAATATTTCATTGTTAAGCTCGTATCTCCTTCAAATTCAAACGTATTCGGGCGCTGTTTTGACGAGTCGATGCAAAATTGCGCGTTCTATCATAATATCAAAACGTCCTTACAGATATCCTGTGTACAGACTATTCCGGCAGCAAAATACTGGTTTCGGCACGATTTCGCTTACACTGGGGGGAGAGTTTGACAATCAGTAACGGAAGTGTCACACCGGCTGCGGCAATCTCCAGACGGCATTCCCTATCGGGAGCACCTGGGCTGAATACGCCTGGCCCTTCGGTTGTGCACATACTACAGCAGGGGATGGAAAAATCGTCTGCAGCAGCTCATTTTATTTGTGAGAACATAATTACAGATTGTATAGTAAGTGCTATCCAAGGAAGCATTGAGTGCAAGACCCACTGGGGTCGTCGGCGCATGCACACGCGAATGCGCATTCAAGCTCCGCTTGGATTCCACAGTCACGCCCTGTCTCGATAGAGTGTTTGACAAACACCTACCTGACGTCTAGCAAGGGAATTCCTCCACCTCGTGCATATCGGGCTTGACGAACAGGCAGTTAAGAACTGTAAGGATGTATTCTTTATGTTGTTCTAAGGTTTTGGGACACACCGTTCAGGAGATCTCTCCGAATGCATTCCCCAGTACAGGTATATCAGCGTGTTTTGTGTGTTCACGGACGAAGCGAGGAGAAATAAATTATTCTGAGCTTAGAGACATGAAAAGTAGATGCATGCTCATACGTATGCCAATTGGTGAAGCTGAATATGGGATGTGGAAAGAGCTACGAGCGATTTGTCGTTTTGTCAAACCCAATACCCGTGTCAAACTCCCCCCCAATGATAGTACGACTTTGCTACGATTGCTGTCGCAGTTGGAACTCCGCTGACCGTGGAAATCCGTACCGTATTTCGAGCTAATGGTTTATTTAAACTCCGGTCCAATACTACGCGCGAACGCGAACGATCAGCGTGCATTGAATAATTTCGGTCGTTCGTTCGTCTTTGACGAATTGTACCGGCCATTCTGGGATTGCTGCACAACGATCGAACGCGAACGATCAATTTTTGAGCACCCCTATTAGTATTACATACTATGCCTCGAACTCTGAAGTTCCAAATTTAGCCACTTCGTCCTTGTCGCGACGATATCGCTTTAAATTTCTCTAGTCTCTCTCTAGTCTCCGGCATCCAGAGTTCGTGTTCAACGAGCAGCGACCGAATTCGAATGAGCTGCCATTATCGACATGTCTGTTTGTGGGCCGGTCTCCAGCTCCATACATAGCCGCAGTAACTCAATCTCTGGCTGTGAGTTGCGGGTTCATTGACAGTCCAACTTGAAGTCGTCCTAGCATCTCCTAGCATTCGTTCAAATATATAACATGCCTGGCATCGGAACCTCACAGAAACCATGATAACCACTGTGCCTTACATACGTTGGTTACTACTCAGGTAGATGGATCTGTCGAATTTCCGACATCGATCTTATTATTGTCCGAGGTTGGCTCGGACCTTATGCTATGTACCTCAACGACGTCGGAACCGAGGGGTCAGGTAAGAAACAATCGAGGACTCGCGCGTGGGTATATCCGTATGTTCGCTGAACCGCGTAGATCCTTGTGGTGGTGAAGGACCCTGCCCGCCGTAGCCCGCGTCCAACCGCCTCAACTCCGAGCATGTGTCATGAAACGCATATATTTCATACACATCCGCTACCTGGGGGTTTGACTCGCATTTACGTGGTAGGGCTCTTTGGGCATTGGACATTGGACATTCCACTTAGGCCGTGACTAACGATAATATATAGATGTGCACGTATGCCGATGGCAGCCGAGTCCGGGATGGTGAGCCCATCTTGTCATTATCTGCGATGCTGGAATATTGCATGACGCACGCGCCGGCAGAGTCAGCATATCGAAGCACTCACACTCGGTCATTGCAACGACATGAAACGCCTCGCCAACTGACCTTGATATCTGCCGCACTAGGCAACGATAGCAGACATATCGACTTACTAATCCTCTGTGCGGCCCCGCTCTGAGCGCACCCCCTCCAACATTGACTCATGCGATTCCCTTATAACAGGACCGCGATGCCATCCATCCCAGTTTAAGCCCTCCTGGACAAGATGCGCGGTTCTCTGGAAGGCATTCGCCTCTTGACGGGTGTTATCGTGTTCGCCTGTGGGATCGCGGCTCAGTCCACGGCCGGCGACATCGTCAACACCGGTTACGCAAGTTACAGGGGGAACGTATCCTACTCGAACACGGTTGCGTACCTTGGAGTACCGTATGCCGAGCCCCCCTTGGACGAACTGAGGTTCCGTGCCCCTGTTCCGCTGAACACCACACGAGTTGCGTGGGAGGCCAACGGACAGGTCGTAGACGCGACCCGATACCCTGAATTCTGTATTCAAGGCTCAACGGGAGGTAATGCCATGCACTCGATCAATGAACACTACGGGCTGACCGACATGTTTGCACAGCCGGAGACGCTGGCGGTGCTGGAAGCGAGGACTGTCTCAATCTCAATATATATGCACCGTACGGTGCTACCAGAGGAAGCAACTGTATGTTCAAGCGCTTCCCTTCCACAAGAGCGGACTAACATTAACTCTGGCTCCCCTACAGTGCCGGTGCTGGTCTATGTTCATGGCGGAGGTACTTCTTACCTTTCCTGTGATCAAACCACTCGCTCACAATGTGCTAGGCTATTTCTATGGCAGCCCGTCCACCACACCCTTCGACCAATGGATAAACCAATATCCCTACGTAGTCATCGTAGCCGTCTACTATCGCCTTGACTCGTTTGGCTTCCTCTCGCACCCCGATTTCCGTAACGGAACTCTGGGAGATAATAACGCTGGCTTCCGTGACCAAATACAGGCACTCAGATGGATTAACCAGTACATTGACGCCTTCGGTGGTGATCCAGGGAAGGTTACCATCGACGGGCAGAGCGCTGGCGGGTCATCAGTAGAGCTCCACCTGGTCGCGAACGAAGGAAACCAGACGCTATTCTCAGGCGCGATTGCGCAGAGCGTGTACCGGACTCCGGTTGCACTGCCTGAGGAGACCGTGGTAAGCAACTGGTCTGACCCATTTGATTACTCTGTTAGTCTGACGTCTTTGACCGCGGTTAGCCGGAGTTTGACTTTTATGCCAACTACGCTGGCTGCGGCTCGGGGGGTCTAGCCGAGCAAATGGCGTGCCTTCGCAATACCAGCATCGGCACCTTGGCTAGGGCTCAGGACGCGGCTCACTACAATGAGTGAGTCTTGTGTTGTATTGTACTGGATATGTTGCTCACTCTTTCTCCAGCACCTTGCGGTATCATTTGTTCCAACCCATAGTCGATGGTGCGATCATTACGGACTACCCTACCAGATCAATTCTTCGTGGAGAGTTCAAAAACGTTCCCCTTATTGTCGGGTAGGAGTGTCTCTGACCGCTGCGGCGTTTTACTCTCTTCTCAAGTATTGAACATGACAGGGCTACCTCCAACGAGACATTAGCCGATGGCCCTACCATTCCAGCGGCACTGAAGGCATACTTCCCGGGGCTTACCGAGTTTGATCTTGAAGGACTCGTTTCGTTATATTCGGCCTCCGGATATTCGTCTACCGACGAACAAACCAGGATTGCCACCGGGGAACCATCAGTCAGATGTGCTGTAAGTTTGGCAGTTCATGTGCCGTATCGTAAGATCGCTCATGACCGTCGAAGCGCTCCATAATGGGTGCAGCCCTCTCAGTACGCAACAATACGTGGACATACCGCTACAATCAGAGGAATCCTACTCAGGCTGCTAATGACACCGCCGTCGAGCACTCCGCTGAGAATTGGATGATGTTCCAAGGCACGAACCTTGGGTATGTTCTATGGTTGCTACTCATTGGTGGATGTGCGGATTGCTCACGGCTCCCTATCCGTCTTAGGTTTAACGGGACTTCAACATTCTCACCCATGACAGCTGTTGAGCAAGCCTTCGCGTCGGAGCTATTCGCTTATTGGCTCTCTTTCGTACGCTCTGGCAACCCCAACACGTACAAGCTAGGACGCTCGCCCGACTGGCCACAGTATTCTTTGACGAATAGGTCCCGAATTGTCTTGCAGCAAGACCTGCATAACAGGACAACAGCTAGCGGAAGTTATACGGAAGTCGAGTCGGTCGCGGAAAGTCTCCGATGTGCTTTCGTGGCTGGCAAGGAAGACCACATGCAAGCCTAGCTCGCGGTTATATGAAATGCGGTATTCAGCGCGATAGGCGGATCTTCCTGGGTCTGAGCAGTATCTACCCTATGCCCCGACCAACCATTTGAACCTGTCTTGTACATTCAAGTTTGATTAAGATTGCAGCATCGTCGCTTCGCCGCTTGCGCGATGTAGCCTATGTTGCGTTCACTGCAATTCAGTTCTACATCGTTCAGACTTGATTCCCGAATGATACAAGCGTACGGACATGTCAATAGGCATGGTCAATCATCAAAAACGGGTGTCTCTAAGTCTCACTTTAGCGCATTGGCTCGGTTTTCGAGACTTATAGGCTAAGTCATAGCTGCGCCCTACCTGCCTCCCCGAGATAAGCCCGCAAATATGCGACTGATGGGAATTTATACCGGCATGAAGGGTTCCGGCGGCTGACCTGCTAGAGGGTCTGATGACCGTCCCGGTGCTACTTCGTGCTACGAAGATGCTCAGAAGTGCAGTAAATCCGGACATTTTCCCCGGCTGCCCTTAGCTATGCGCACTTCTGGTCTATATATTCCGGGCTCATCGCGCTTATAACAGGCCCGGCATGCTATCTACTCGGTCCTGAGCTGTCCGGGACACGATGCGCGGTGCACCTCTTCCCCTCCTCATGGGACTCGCCCTCTGGGCTGCTCCGGCTCTAGCTCAGTCTGCGGCAGGCAACATTGTCAACACGGGCTACGCAAGTTATAGGGGAAATGTGTCCTATCCGAATACAGTGGCATATCTTGGGATACCCTATGCGGAGCCTCCATTGGGCGATCTGAGATTCCGCGCGACAGTTCCATTGAATACCACCCGTATCGCAGAAGAGGCCAATGGGCAAATTGTGGACGCGACTCACTATCCTGACTTCTGCATTCAAGGCACCACCGGGGGTAAGGTCGTGAACTCGTTCGGCGATAAGTAAGGACCTGAATAACCCCTCACTCAGCCGGTGACGCGGGCGGTGCAGGCAGTGAAGATTGTCTTAATGTCAATATCTATACACCATATGGCGCGACAAAAGGAAGCAATCGTAGGCTGATGTTTATACATTCTGCAAGACTATTGAAGTGCTCAGCGTAATTGTTTCAGTGCCAGTACTGGTCTATATTCACGGAGGAGGTACTTCCTTATTCCTTAGATGGGCCCTCTCGTCTGGTTTACACTGTACTAGGTTACGTCTATGGCAACCCAGCCAACTGGCCTTTTGACCAATGGATCAACCAGTTTCCCGATGTAGTTATAGTATCCGTCTACTACCGGCTCGACTCTTTCGGCTTCCTCTCGCACTCAGACTTCCAGAACGGAACTCTGGGCGATAACAATGCTGGTCTCCGTGACCAGATCCAAGCCCTCAGATGGGTCAATCAGTACATCGATGCCTTCGGTGGAGACCCGACCAAGGTCACCATCAATGGACAAAGCGCTGGGGGATCGTCAATAGAGCTCCATCTTGTCGCAAACGAAGGAAACCAGACGCTATTCTCAGGCGCGATTGCCCAAAGTGTCTTTCGAGCTCCAGTGGCTCTGCCAGAGCAGAATATCGTGAGTAATATATCTGGTGCGCTTGATGTATCCCTGGTCTCAAGCTTGCAGATACTCTCAGCCCGAGTTCGAATTCTATGCGAACTACGCCGGTTGTGGTTCGGGGAGCCTTCCCGAACAAATGGCGTGTCTGCGAAATGCTAGCGTCAGCGCGCTAGCTCGTGCGCAAGATGCGACCAATTATAACTTGTGAGCCCTGGGATACCACGTTTCCTGCTTGTCATTCTGATCTTGGCGCAAGCACTGGGCCATATAATGCGTTTCATCCAGTAGTTGACGGCGCCATTATCACGGACTACCCTACAAGGTCAATTCTCCTTGGACAGTTCAAAGACGTCCCCCTTATTGTTGGGTAAGGCAATTCTATACAATCTGAAAGATTCTCACATTGTGCGTTCACAGGGCTACCTCAAACGAGACGTTAGCCAGTGGATCTACCATTGCTGCTGCACTGCAGACCTATTTCCCCCAGCTTACCGAGTTCGACCTGGCAGGCCTTATCTCGTTATACCCATCGTCAGAGTTCTCTTCCACCAACGAACAGACACGGGTTGCCACGGGAGAGCCGTCAGTCAGATGTGCAGTGAGTTCGGTAGTTCGTCACCTTTTCCTCCATCAGCCCTCACATTCTGCGAAGCGCACCATCATGGGAACCGCCTTCTCGGCGCTCAACAACACTTGGACCTATCGCTACAACCAGAGGAACCCTACTCAAAATGCCAATGACACCGCGGTCGAACACGCGTCTGAGAACTGGATGATGTTCCAAGGAACTAACACTGGGTATACATCATCGTGACCCCTCCTCAGCTGACCTCTCGATGCACTAATGGCTTCTTATCCATGTCAGGTACAACGGGACTACGACATTCTCGCCGATGACACCCGTCGAGCAAGCCTTCGCATCAGAGCTATTCGCTTACTGGCTTTCGTTTGTGCGCTCAGGCAATCCCAATACGTACAAGCTAGCTCGCTCGCCCGACTGGCCCCAATACACGTTCACGAATAGGTCCCGAATCGTGTTGCAGCAAGATCCGCAGAATACGACGACGGCTAGTGGGAGCTACGTGGAGGCGGAGCCGGTGGCTGAGAGTCTCAGGTGCGCGTTTATAGCCAGCGAGGAGGACCATATGCAAGCCTAGGGACAGTGTACGGAAAATGAGTATTTACCTGCTGTTCAAACGGCTAACCATTGCTGTAGCCCTGGGGTACTTGCATGCTTACACCCATATTATCGCTCTTTCCTTACAGCCGCCTGTGACTCCGAGCAACGATTATCCAGCAGGCCCCAGACGTCAAAGAGGCCGGACAGCTCCCATTTGACTCCCATACGTCTTTGTCTGTCCTCCCAGATGAGCATGAGTCGCATAAGGGAATTTGCCCCACTGGCACTTGATCGACAATCTTCGGAATCCGCCCTAAGAAGGGCACGGCTAGCGGGTCCTGGACTTCACTGTACTCTTTGTTCATCAGTCATGTCGGATAAGTGAGCTCGTGGAGCTGGTCTATCGCATTCCACGGCTTCATGCTTCCTGTGTTACAGAAATCGGACGGCCCGTTCCTGGTCAGTGGTCGGAGGTCAGCAATGTATGCTCATCACTCGAACAGTTCAAGTTTGCGCTTGCTCGGGCTCACATTGTGTGGTAGACCGTCAAGTCGTCGTTCATACTAGCTGTGACGGAGGTCGTCATTTCCTCGAGCCAGTAGGTCCTGCCGGTTTGTATGCTTTTTGTAGATGGCAAACATCACTCCTTTGTATTCCCTGTCCGCCCGGCGAGATTCCCTCCAACAATTGATTGGTCTCCCTGATTCACAGCTCCATCGACCCGGACTGGATACTGCCAGTGGGGCGAAGCCCTTCAGCCTCTCAGGGTAGTGTGAGTCCCAGCTTGAGAGATGCCTGCCAGTGCTCATCACAATCGTATAGGTACTTCACGGACTTACCGCGGCGCAAACCCCGCGAAACCATCTGCTACACTGTGACTAGGTATTCTTGGTTGACCGGAGCCGTCATTTCGCCTCTTGTGTCTGTTGCGGCCACTTCAATTCAGTTCCGCATGGTGTCATGGACGTTGCGCAAACTTGGCAGCCAAAACCTGACTTCGGACGTGGTCCCTAGTAACTGATGGAATCACACAGGTGTGTAATTATAAGTTACCGACTCGAGTCACGTATGCCTCTTGAGTTGTCACTTTGAGCACACTCGATCGCTGTGTATCGTGCCCCTCGCCTGTCTCTCAGAGTGCTTCTCTGAGATTAGCTTGCAATAATGTGACTGATGGGCATTAGGAGGGGTTCCTGTGGCTGACCTGCTAAAGGGAGATGTGACGACCGTGCCGGTGCTACTTTGTGCCATGAAAATGCAAAGATATGCTGTAAGGCCGGACGTTTAGCTATGCACGCTTTTCAACTATTTTCTCTCGAGTCATGGCACGGCCCCTTATAACAGAGATGTCATGCTATCCACCCGATCCTGGACACCATGCGCAGTTCAAATCTCCCCATCCTCACTGTAATTGCCCTCTGTGCTGCTCAAGCTATAGCTCAGTCTGCGGCTGGGAACATGGTCAATACAGGCTACGCGAGCTACAGGGGCAATGTTTCCTACCCGAACACAGTGGCATATCTTGGGATACCCTATGCTGAGCCTCCATTGGGCGACCTGAGGTTCCGAGCAACAGTGCCGCTGAATACCACTCGTATCGCGGTGGAGGCCAATGGACTACTCGTGGACGCGACTCGCTATCCTGACTTCTGCATTCAAGGCACTACTGGGGGTAAGGTTATGGACTCCTTCGACCATAAGTAAGGAACCGATTGACCCTCACTTAGCCGGAGATGCGGGCGGTGCAGGCAGTGAAGATTGTCTTAATGTCAATATCTATACACCATACGGCGCGACAAAAGGAAGCAATCGTAGGCTGATGTTTATACATTCTGCAAGACTATTGAAGTGCTCAGCGTATTTGTTTCAGTGCCAGTACTGGTCTATATTCATGGCGGAGGTACTTCCCATATCCCTCGGGCCAGGTCTCTCGCCTTGCTTACGCTGTATTAGGCTACGTCTATGGCAATCCAGCCAACCAGCCATTCGACCATTGGATCAACCAGTTTCCTGACGTAGTCATAGTATCCGTCTACTACCGGCTTGACTCTTTTGGCTTCCTCTCGCACCCAAATTTCCAGAACGGAATCCTAAGCGATAACAATGCTGGTTTCCGTGACCAACTCCAGGCCCTCAAATGGGTAAACCGATACATTGATGCCTTCGGTGGAGACCCGACCAAGGTCACCATCAATGGGCAAAGCGCTGGGGGATCGTCGATAGAGCTCCATCTTGTCGCAAACGAAGGAAACCAGACGCTATTCTCAGGCGCGATTGCACAGAGCGTCTACCGAGCTCCGGTGGCTCTGCCTGAGCAGAATTTTGTGAGTGATTTATCTGGCGCGCTGGATATAGCCTCAAGCCTTGAAATGCTGCTAGCCTGCATTCGAGTTTTATGCGAACTATGCCGGCTGTGGTTCTGGGAGCCTTCCCGAGCAAATGGCGTGTCTCCGCAAGGCTAGCGTCAGTGCTCTAGCTCGGGCACAGGATGCAACCAACTATAACTTGTGAGCCTTGTGATTGAATATTTCCTATTCATAATCCTGAACCTTCTGAAGCACCGGGCCGTATAATGCGTTCCATCCTGTAGTCGACGGCAAGATCATTACGGACTATCCTACAAGGTCTATCCTCCGAGGAGAGTTCAAGAACGTGCCTCTGCTTGTCGGGTATGGTCGTCTCTGATCGTTTTCACATTTAACTGATGACCGTGACAGCGCTACCTCCAACGAGACCTTGGCTATCGGCACCACCATCGCCGCGGCGCTCAACACATTCTTCCCCGAGCTTACCGAGTCCGATATCGCAGGCCTTGTTTCGTTATACCCAGCGTCAGAGTACTCTTCCGCGATTGAACAAGGCAGGGACGTCGCGGGAGATGCGTCAGTCAGATGTGCGGTGAGTGCGCTAGTCCGTCCCTGTATCTCGTCCCCCTCACGTTCCTCCAAGCGCACTATTATGGGTACGGCGTTCTCGGTGCTCAACAATACCTGGACGTATCGCTACAACCAGAGGAATCCCACCCAACCTGCGAATGACACCGCAGTCGAACACGCAGCGGAGAATTGGATGATGTTCCAAGGAACCAACTCCGGGTATAGACTACCGACCTCTCCAGCTGACGTTTCGAGGCGCTCATGACTTGTTTTCCTCATCAGGTACAACGGGACTACGACGTTCTCGCCAATGACGCCCGTCGAGCAGGCCTTCGCGTCAGAGCTATTCGCGTACTGGCTCTCGTTCGTGCGCTCAGGCAATCCCAACACCTACAAGCTCGCTCGCTCGCCCGACTGGCCGCGATACGCCTCCACGAATCGGTCGAGGATCGTGCTGCAGCAAGATCCGCGGAATACGACGACGGCGAGTGGGAGCTACGCGGAGGCGGAGCCGGTGGCTGAGAGCCGAAGATGCACGTTTGTAGCGAGCGGGGAGGACCACATGCAAGCCTAGAGATGGTGTACGGAATTGGGCATTTGCGCGCAGTTAAACATTGCTGTAGCCCTGCAGTACTTACTGTACATAGCGTACACCTACATTATCACTCCCCCCCTGCAGCAGCCTGTCACTCCAACCAACGATTCGCAATCACCAATCACCACCCATACGTGAAGAAAGACCTGATGACTCCCATTGACGTGTATCTCTCTGTCCTCCCAGAAGGGCATATGTGTCGTCTTGAATAAATTTGCCCACTTGACCTTCGGAACCCGCTTGAAGGTAACGGATCCTGGCTCCATGGGCCTCTCCGTTCATCGAATGTGTGAGTGGGCATAGGACGAGCGGGCGAGGCGGAGGGGGGGGGGGAGGCCGACGGATTGGCAGTCGGTGTGGAAGGCTCCCGAGCTGTCTTTGTAGGGGATCGTGCTGGTGACGGCTGCAAGGCTGTCTGGAATTTGCGCGCCGAGTAGCTTTACCCGGCGGACCTGACAGTAGAGGTGACGGAGCGTGATCCCAACCGCACAATGAACGACGCGATCGACCTGAGTGTTCCGGTGTCCCCGATGTTCTGCAGTTAATCCTCGATAGCATATGGCACACCGGACCACCGAGGTCGAACATCATCACTGCTCAGAAACTGGAGACCAGCCTTCTCGTCATGTGCCTTACCAGCAGGTTTTCCCCGCGCTCTTGGCCGACCAGAGTGCAGTCCCTAAGTGGTTGAACGAGAATGTGGCGCGATGTGATTTTGCGGGGTGTTGGGTGCTCGTAGACCAGCACAGAGGAGGTTATCTACCTGAGGGGGAGGAGAGTTGACGGGCGTAGGGCTGCTGGGAAGTGATACTCCTCCTGACTGCAGATGCTTGATGAGGCGTCATCAGTTGGTTTTGTCATTCATGCCGTATAGCCGTCATAAGAGGGAGGCATACGACGTCCTCCTCGCCTGCGGACTCTGGCGTCGTACCGGTCATGCTATACCACACCGGTCCCGAGGGCCTGTATTCCCGAGATACCCTGAACCTGTATACCACGAGTTTCTCAATACATGGGCGCACCGAAGCTCACGAGTGCCTGTACGAGGGCACGCGAACCTTGATAAGCCGATGAACCTGATGGGCTGTCAATGCACGATGACCTCCCAGTTTCACGGCCCACCAAGGTAGACGTGCATTACAGATACATTAGGGCAGATATAGCGTACTCCTCCGAGTCGTACACCGAAAACACCAAGTCCAAGATCCGGCCCATACCCTATCCCCAAAGTAAACATCAGCACTCCCCTTCCAGCGCAAGCAATCCACTCACAGCACGCCGCCCAGCGATCCAAGAACTACGTGTGGGTCTTACCCTCCTGCGCCTGCACCATCCGCGGCGTCGCCGCGGGCTGCGCGTCCACCTGCACCCGCTTCCGGCGCTCCGCCTCCTCGCGCTGCGCGCGCTCGAAGCCGTCCTCGTCGAACGACTTGCTGCAGCACGGCCCGCAGCACCCGCGCTGGCCGCCGCACCCGCCTGCGCCCCATCGCTCTAGGGAGTCGTTAGTTGTGAATGGGGGAGGGGAGGGCGGGAGGACGTACTGGTGTCGCACCATGCTTGGCAGCAGCCAGTCAAGCCGACACCTGGGCCATGAGTAAGACCTGAGTGGAATATTAATGTGAAGGAAGCGGGACGGCGTACAGCACAAGCCGCATATCGCGGCGAAACAACCGTCAGCCTCGCTGGACATCCCGTTGTACATGCGTTGGTGCCTGGTGCAGAAGTGTGCTCGAAGTATTCAACGAGCGGCGCGGTGGTTGTATGAGGGCATGGGTCCAGGGGTTATAAGTACGGGCAGCTTGACGAGAGGAGTAGATTTGACAGCCACGAGGCGTTGCTCCCACTGATGGCATTCAGCCTCGCTGTACGGCGTCATGCCGGCTGCCACAACTGCAAGCACTCTCGTAGCGATAAACAATTACTTTTCATTCTAATTATCTCTGCCAGACGACTGTACACGGTGAACTGCCAGAGAAAACCAAGACTACATAGCACTTCCGTATCCATCCAGATACACCAAATCCTCTCGCATATTGCAATCGAATCACTGCAGCGACACCAACAACCGCTCCACCACCTCATCCACTGACGTGTCCCCCACCTCCACCGGCCATTCTTTGATCGCCTTGTCCGCGGGCAGCGCGGACCAGTTGGGCGACGGCGTCGGCCGCACGTGCGAGAAGTCCTGGACTGCGAGGTGCTTGCTGTTGCTCTGGGTCTCCTAGATAGTCACAAGTCAACAAGAGGGGGAGAGGGAGAGGTCAAGAGGGAGACGTACGGAGAGGTCAAGGGAATCGGGGTAGGCCGAGAAGCGGATGCGCGAGGAGTGCTCGATGATGGGGTTGGACGGGATGGAGAGGTACACGTCCGTCTCCTTGCTCGTGTGCATGCGGAACTGCCGCCGTCCCGTCAGACTCACGCTCAACCCCGACTTCCAACTGCGACACTCACCTGGTGACACCGCAACACGAGTATGCACCGCTGCACATCGTGCAGGAGCACGCTGCCCGTCACGTTGCCGAGTATGAGCACGCTGTTAGTCACGTTCCGGACGTGGATGGCGGAGAACGTCCGGGTTGGGGGGACGAGGTTGACGAGGCAGTGGTCGAGGTCCGCGATGGCGAGCTCCGTCGCGTCAGAGTCCGTCGAGAGCGAGTCCAGCGTGAGATACGCATGCGATTTGGACGAGAACGCCAAGCCGCTTGCGCTCTCTGCCGGAACCGTGGCGGGGGCACTAGGCGGCGCGGGTGCAGGAGTAGGGGTAGCAGTCCTGGGAGCAGCAGCGCCCTTCCGCTTGAACGCGAACTTCGCCTTCGGCGCGCGCATCCCCTCCACCCCGTCCTCCAGCGCCTTCAGTTGCTGGTATGGTCCGAGTCAGCAACGCGCACGCGTGTATCTCACCCGGGAATCCATACCAGTTCGCACTGCCGCTGGTCGTACGCGGGCAGGTAGGCCGTCGCGTCCGTCAGCTCTTTGCGCAGTTTCGCGAGGCCCAGCGCGAGGGCTTGGAGTGCATCTGTGCTGGGCGGGGAGGATTTGGCGGCTTCGATTTGGGAGGCGAGGGCTGTTGCGGGTGCATGTGCATTGGACGTTCAGAGTGCAGTGCGGGAGGAGAAGGGCGGGGGCAGACCGGCGCGGGCGTCTTGGAAGTGCTGGTAGAATGTATCGATGAGCTCGCGGTTGTTGGCGGACATTGCTGCAACGACTGTGAGTGTTGTGATGTATCGGATTGGAGTGCAGACGACGCTCTCGGTGACGGTGGCGGTCAAGAGGAAGTTGTGACTGGTCATGACTTCGTGACAAAGACAAGGCTCGCGCGGCCCAGGCGTTGCTCATCCTCACTCTCATCTTCCCTTTGACCACGACCACGATGGCGGACTCGAATATGGACGTGGACCCTCCGACGACGGCGGTGAGCAAGAAGGAGGGGAAGCAGCGGTTCGAGGTCAAGAAGGTTCGTCTGCCGGGGTTGCAGATTGGAGTGGGATTGTGCTGATGCGCGCGCGCGGACGGTAGTGGAATGCCGTCGCTCTGTGGGCTTGGGGTGAGTTGAATCTCGTATTATAATCATGATACCGGCTTGTCCTTGTTCTTGGGATGGAGGGCAGCCCGGCGTGTGGCGTGTCTGGCTGACTGGACTCGCCACAGACATCGTCGTAGACAACTGCGCCATCTGCAGGAACCACATCATGGATCTCTGTGCGTCCCTGCCCTCCCTCCTCCCCATCTCCGTTCTCTAACGCCGCACGCAGGCATCGATTGCCAGGCGAACCAGATCTCCGCCACGAGCGAGGACTGCAACGCCGCGTGGGGCATCTGCAACGTAGGTACACCGTCTCTGGCTCGTGTGCATATTGAGATCGTGTCTACCTATACTCCAGCACGCCTTCCACTTCCACTGCATCTCGCGGTGGCTCAAGACGAGGAATGTGTGCCCGCTCGATAATAGAGAGTGGGAGCTGCAGAAGTGCGTTGTTCGGGTATTCATATTATCGAGTACGGAGGCGCTGATGTGCGATGCCTTGCAGGTACGGCCGATAAAGGCGTCGTCAGACTTCGAACTCCAGCACTTTGTCCCAGCATCCATGTCCTGTTGTCTCTGTATACTAGTATCGCCTCCTGTATCGACGAAAAGCTGCCGAATATCACGAAATTCATAGACAAACCATAGGTGTCTTGAAACGGCTTGTAGCTCGATCAAGCTGCAGGCGAGTCAGGCTGCAGGCATTGTTCGTGATTCCTGAAGGCCATGCAAGACGCTTGACCAAGCGAGGAAATGCAGCTGCCGCATTCGGTATATTTGCGAATGACGTCGACAACGTATTCGACTCTTCCATCATAGCGCATCGGAGTGCTAGCCATATGTCAAGCCACAACGCAGATGTATATAAGTAATGGCGAGCAGTGCTTCAGCCAGCTTGGTTTACTCGTCTGCCGACCCTCTGCTTTTGAGCGCTGCGACTAGCTGGAAGAACATACCGAGGGCTGTATACGACTTCGTGGGAAGGCGTCGCGGGCAGCAGCCGTATTCAGGGCTGGAGAATAATGCGTTTCATTCCCCTCCCGTGAAGACGGTCGCAGCCGAGCAAAGACGGCTTCTTAATGCACTTGGAATCGCTACGTCGAGTCCAGGATGCTTATACGAACTGTACAGTGGGTCAGCTTGTCCAACAGATGTTGGACTACGATGTTGGTGAACAGCCAGCCACGTACTGATACTACTGATTCGGGGTGGGGGTGTGAATGTTGTCGGCTACGTCGTCCATTTCTTGGGCGTCGACTTAGACTATGTCACCGCCTTCTCTTGTGGGTCAAGCAGTTTTACGCGAGATTCTCCCTTGACCCATAAGGGAAGGAGGTTGCATGCCTACGTTCCTCGGGCGACGTATGCTCACCAAGTCGCCCGAGGATGGACGCAGTCTACTTCGGGACCAGAAAGACGGTAGGTGTGCGGCGTGAGGTATACACCCGTCCCCGCTCAAGTCGAAGAGAGGGCTGACAGACAGCAGCAAGATACAAGCAACTTGAAGCAAGAGTCCATAATGAATCTGATATGCATCGTGGACGTGCTCATGCACTGTTACGTCAATCGTCCCGATAACCCATCAGGATCACATGACAGAACGCGTCCGCGCTCCGCCCTGCCCTAAATGTTCAACTCGGCACGCGGAAGCATTTCGCGAAGTTGAACCTTCGTACACTCTCTAACTCTGCGCTCACCCATGTACGCTTACTGACTGACCGCCTGACTGCTAACGTTCTGCTTGTCGCGCAATGACGAGCTACACGACGACGGACCCCTCGACTGGGGGCCCACGATCCCCGCTATTTGGAACTGCAACATTCTCAACGCTATCGCCTTCTGACCCTTCAAGAATGGGGTACACGGGCACTTCACGAACAGGTAATCACTAGCGACTGACTGCACTGTAATTAGGTATGCTGACCGCGACTATATCGGAAGGTACGCCAATTCCCCCGTCCGATGACGGCGAGGACGCCTCGACGACGTACAATATGCGCCGGGTCAACCTCTCGCCTACTCAATCCTACACCAACACATATACTTACTCTGACGACGACTCTATTGACGACACGGCCGAGGTGGAGGCCGCGCTGACGAACATCGAAAACGAGCTCGCGGACGTCGAGGATGCGCTCACCGAGTGGTCGCGCGACTCGGGGTCGGACGCGAGCCGGCCGACGTACTCGACGCTGAGCGGGTCGGGGTCGTACACGACCTCGTCTGCGCCGTACACCACAAGCACCGGCACCGGGCCGATGTCTACTACTACTACTACTACCACAGCCAATATGCTCGCGGAACGCAACAGGCTGAGCACGATCACTGAACGCACCGAAGATAGGACGAATAGCAGGCCCAACTCTGGGCTGCCGGGCTCGCGGCCGATCAGCGGGCATTCGGACGCGCTGAGGCGGTCGGCGGTGCTTGGCGGGGGCGCGGTTTCGCCGTCCCCGCATGCGCGCTCTGCCACCGAGTCGACCGCGCTGCCCCCGCCCGGGCGGCGTGCGGGAGATTTGATCGCGTTCTTCGAGGGGGGCGCGAGCGAGAGCCCCTCGCGGGGCGGGCATACCAGGACGACGTCGGCGCCTGCGGGGCCGCGCTCGCCGAGCCCGTACTTTGCTAGCACCACCGGCTTTGGGTATAGCAGCGGGACTGGGTTTGGGTATAGCACCGCGGGGTATACATCGCGCCCTTCTTCTCCGGCTGCTAGTAAGAGTGGGAGCAGCGTTAGCGGTACTACTCCGTTTACGATGTCTTCTTTCCTGTCCCCGCAAGCTCGGGGGACGACTTCTCTTTCTTCTGATTCAAGGTTTCCAACTACGACCACGGCGCGCACCGGGACGACTACGCCTACCCAGACGGGCACGGGCACGTACACCCAGACCGGCACGGGCACTTACGCGAACACCTATTCGACTTTTAGCAGCACTCTCACTCCGACTACTAACACGAACACTTTTACGGGTACCCCGACGGCGTCGTCGCTCCGCCGCCCGCAGACGTCCCCGCGCTCGCCGCTGACGTCGGTGCGCAACATCGTCGCCGCGTGGAAGGAGCGTACGCCACTCGGGAGCAAGACGGCCAAGTCGCCTGCCTCGGCGTCCTCGGTTGGCACGGTGCGCTCGCCGCCCGGCGAGGGCCTCTTCAGCATCAGGCGGCGCGCGGAGCGGGGGCAGATGAGGTTACGGGACCAGGCGCTCGGTTCGCTGAGGCGCGGCGAGGCGCCGTCGTTCGAGGCGATGCGCCCGGCCGAGGAGCCGCGCAGCACGAGCGACAGTGTGACGGGGAGCGCGCTGCTCCCGCCGCCGTTCGATATCGCTGAGCTGGGCGTGTACGCGAGGGGCAGTCAAGAGGTGAGTGGGGCGCGGTGCGATTCATGGACGTAAACTGATCGAGTTGTTATCTTATCTTATCACCACGGGATACCGTAACATTAGCCACTGCGCATTGGCTTGCTCTGGTACTTGAACGTCCATGCGCCCCCGCCGTACCGCTGGCAACGATGCCAGGCTTTGCTGTATCCCCACATGCTACTCTTGTCGTGGATTGCGGCGGGCGGAGGCCGCGGCGTCGTCACGCTGGATTTGCTGAACTGCACTGAGGTAAGGTCGGTGCCGACGCCGCTGCACCCCAGCGCGAAAGACGATGTTGGGACGATCGCCGCGAGGATGCAGAGCGAGGAGGCGAGCTCCCAGGAGAGCGGGCAGCTTGGGGAGATGGGCCTTGTTGAGACTTTGTGCCCGTTCCAGCTGCTGTACAGTGATGGGATTGAACGGCTCGGTGCGGAGAGCGCGAGGGAAAGAGTGAGATGGGTTAGTGCTATATGGTATGTGGAGTTCCCCTATGTAGACCTATGTGTTGATGCTAATATTTGAGGATTATAGGGAGGCCCTGGATCGGTCGGTTACGATACCGGATCGTTCAGCGACGGGTTCACCCACTGGGTCAATTCGGACAATTCGCTCCATGACTAGCACTAATACAGAGTCGGCTACTGGCTCAGGCTCTGCGTCTACCGTCTTCGTCCCGCCTCTTGACAGTATTCCGGACTTGTCTGATCTACAGTCTATTACTGGCTCGAGCACTAGCGTGCCGCTCTCTCGCGGACCCTCATTCGCTGTGTCTACTAGGACTCGTGCTACGGACGACGCTGCAGTCTCTGGCCAAGGCTTCCTCTACCCCGGAGATCCACGAGTCATCGCACCGAGCAGGAGTAGCTCTATCCGGAGGACTAGTTCGCTGACGGACTTGGATGCTGAGTTTGCCTCTGCTGTGAGCCGTGCTCGAAACGCAAGGCCTGGGCTTGGTTTTGGGTTGGGCCTTGCGGCCGGCGTGGTCCTTGGTGAAGGTTCGCCTGTGACTATATCAAGTGCGCCAAGGCTTGGCGAAGACGTACGCCTCACCCCCCCTCCGAAATCAAGGTCTCGTGGAACATCGTCAAGGACGTCGAGCGAACTGGACGATGAGACGTTCTTCTCGGCCGGTTCTAAGTCTGCAAGCGATGATACCAAGGGTTCGAGTTTCTACTCCTCTCTGTCCAGGACGGACTTCACTACCACCGGAGCTGGCATTACTACTACAGACACGACTGTGGGACTTGCTATCACGTCAGGCTCCGATACCAACATTGTGGCATCTTCGCTCTCACTCAGGGGTCCTTCCTCTGCTTCCCACTTGGGTGACTCCCACGATGGCACGCCGAGTACTTATACATACGGCTCGACTTCGCCATCACGCCTGTCGAGGGCAAGAGAAGTTCGCAGAAGGTCTGCGAGGAGCAGCTCCCGGACATTCTCCTCCTCGTATCAAACTCGGACTACCGATGAAGGCTCGGACAAGGAGAACTCGGAGATTTCAGGCTCTACGCCGTCTCGCTCGACCGAATACGACACTTCCAGCCGTGGCTATACCGCGACGACGACAAGCTGCTCCTGCTCGTACAGCGGCACGTGTTCGACGTGCCGGTACACCTCGTCATCTGGCACGTACACCTATACGGATGATGTATCGGAGGTTGCGCCTTCGGTGATTCCCAGTATCCCGTCCGAGAGCGAGTATATAACCGCTGAAGCCGCTTCGACGGAGTACTCCACTGCTGAAGCTGCTTCGACTGAATACTCCACGGCGGAAGTCTGCTCGACGGAGTACAGCACCGCGGAGGTGTGCCCGACGCCCTCTGTGTCGGAGTATATTACAGCGGATGTCTGCAAGAGTGAGCCGCCGTCAGAGTACATCACTGCTGAAGTGTGCCCGACGGAGCTGACGACGGAGTACGATACCGCCGAGTGCCGGTGCATCCCCAGTATCGCAGAGGAAGAAGATGAGGAGAGGAGCGTCGTTGCTCCCTCGGAAATCCCCACCATCCCGTCAGATGTCGAGCCTGAGATTTGCCCGGAGGACATCCCGTTGCCCCCCTCCGAGCCTGCCTCGGTATCCAGCCCGTCATGGCCGCCCACCGAGCCATCCTTGACAGACGTCTCGGAGAGTCAACTAGAGCCGACGGAAGATTTCACACCCACGACTGTGTCTACCATCGAGTCCTTCCCTGGTCCGTCTCCGATACAACCCATGGAGTCCCTGCCCAGTAGCGAAACGCCAGAATCGATTTCGAGCCCGACTGAGTCGTCGATCACCCCGACCATCGAGGAATTGACTCCCACTGTGTCTTCTGAAGACTTGCAGCAGCCGACCCCGCCGTCTCCGTCCATCCGCGAATCGCTCTGGGCGCCGGAGAGCGACCGCTCATATGAGTCATCGATATTGCAGGCTTCGCCCTCGGTGCTGTCCATAGCCGTTCCGGAGGGGCCTGACATGTCGTACGAAACCTCCGGCCTGAGACCCAGCGGGTCCCCCATCACGACGGAGCAGCCGCGGCTCTCGCCCATCCCTGAGCTGCCCAGCACCGTCACGCCGTCGTCGCCCACGTCCGTGACAGCCACGCCCGAGTCGGTTTCTACGCCTACTGATGTACCGACGCCGTCGCTGCTGTCGGCCGAGCGCACGGTGACGGTGACGAGGACGCCCTCGTCGGTGTCGACGGTGTCGAGTATATCGATGCGGTCCTCGATTTTTGAGCCGCGGTCGCTGTTTGAGTTCCAGATGGACGAGGAGCCGACGGAGCCGTCGTTGCTCTCGACTCATCGGTCGCCGCCTACCCCGGTGCCCGTTGACCAGCGCTCGGTACGTGCTTCTATTGTATCTGTCGTGAAGAGGTATAGGAGGAACTCATTTTACCTCTAGTTGTCACCTGCCTTCATTCCTCTGCCGAGCTCGCCCGCTCCGTCGACGCCTTCAGTGCCTATAAGCGTCAGTATCGCCACACCTGCAGGAGATGTCCCGTCCATCCACACGATTGAGAGCGCACCGTCTGCACGCAGTGAGATCCTGACGCACGATGTGAACCGCTTGCTGCAGTATCTCCACGATCTGGATCAGGGCCGTGTCGAGGACCACAGGGAGCTCGTAGACAACATCAGGGACATCCGGGACGAGCTGTACGATCTATCTTTGTTCTTGCACGAGAATCGCCCTGCGGATGTGCCGCCTCCCGTGCCACACAAAGACCAGTCTGTCGGCGGGAGCAGCGTCATCGCATCGTCTCCGGCGACTCCAATGACTCCGAGAGCTCTACCTGCTGGACCCCGGCCCATTTCAAGGCCTCATCTGATACCTATTCCGCTGACCCCTCCCCCTTTGCGACCTGCTTCTCCGAGCAGCCTTACCAGCTCGATTTCGTTCCTGGAGTCTCCGCACTCGGATGATTGGAGCTTGATGGGATCGGAGACGTACCCTATGCGTGCTTCTTCTCCCTCCTGGCCCTCCGAGAGCTCGCCTTCTCCGCCTTCGTCTCCACTTGAAGCGTCTTCTGAGTCGATATCATCGTCTACCCCGTCTTCTGGACCGTACCTGTCGGCTACTTCGCCGTCTTCGCCCAGTGCTCCTGCTTCTCCGCCGCTTTCTGCGACATCTGATGTTACAGCCCGTCCAAGGCCCCCACCCATATCACTGACTGACCTGCTGGAGAACCTGGAGGCGTTAAAGCAACAAACCAATGCTTTGCACGATTCACAACGTTCGGCCAATGATATGCTCGGAGAACTGCGTGATAGAGGCCCTGCGACGCAGGATCTTTCTGCGTGCTGCGACAAAATCCAGAGGATAGAAGATATGCTGCGGGGAGTGCTTGACCGATTGCAAGTTCCTCAGCCCGAGTCGCTCTACGAATCACCTTCGGAGACATCCTCGGATAGGGAGCGTTTGCAGAGAATCTTGGACAGGATCGGAGGACACGAAGAGCCGCCGGTGATACGCATGCCAGTACCAGTGCGAGCAGGACCGTCTCTAGACGAGCAACTGGAAAATCTCTTGGGCTCCGGTCCTCAAATGCCGCCTCCTACGGTGCAAGCCCCACCACCTCTCATTCCTTTCGTGTACAGACCCGCGCCCCACCGTCCGCGCAGTGAAAGTCCCACTATTGGGCCCGACTTGCCTCCTCGTCGGTCGTACACGGCTCCTGCGCCAGATCTTTATACAGTCAGGCGTCCACCGCGACGGTCCGGCGGTAGACCCGGCCGTCCTCCGTTCTACCCGCCTCCCCGGACAGCAAGTAGTTTCCGTGATCAAGGGCGTGAGCCTCCTGTCATACCATCATTGCCGCCGGAGGAAGGTCCTGTGGAAGGGAGTCGTCGACCGGAAGGTGAGTCAGGGCCTGATTTCTTGCGCGCTCTGCGCGAGCTCCGTCGACGTCGACATCCTGATACTGCCCCTGATGGATTCTTCAATACGGGCCGCGCTGGTGCTGCCGAGGTGAGTGGTGCGGAACGGTGGGCTGGGTTTCGGCGCTGACATTCTATTCCCTGTCAGACTGATGCAGCGCAGAGGCCTCCAACAGCGCCTCCTGACTTGGGCGAGGGTGGTACGTGGTACAGACCCGCGCAGCCTCCAACGGAACCTCAGCCTGGCGCAGAGCAGGCCCCGGGAACATTCATCCCGCCGGGCGCTGGTTTTCCGATTAGTGTCCTTCCTCCCGGTGTGGTAGGTACTCCCGAGCTATTCAGTTTACCGATGCTTAGTCCTTCTATTTTGTAGGCAATGCCTCCTCACTTGCAGGATATCCTGGAGATGTTAAGGGTACATAAGATTCAAGTCCATCGAGTTTGTCAGAACCTTGCTAAACTATTCATTAGGAAAACCGGGTCGCGCAGCGCGCGTCGATTGAGCAGCAACGCGAGATCATGAGATATCTAAGAGGTCTGAATGAATGGTTAGCTAGAGATGTCCACGACCGTCAAGCTGAAATACGCGGGGTGGCGGCTCGTGTGGATCGTCTCCGAGACGATCTTGATCGCATGGGTCGACCCCAGACTGCAGGTGAGCTCGCGGATATCCGTTTATCCGCGCCGGACTGACTCTGGCTATAAGGCGTGCAACCCATGTTCACCCAAGGACCACCCCCTCAACAAGGCATGATGCCTGGCCCGGGAATGCCCGTGCCTCAACAAACTGGGGACACATACGTTATACCACCGCTTCCCACTATGGGACAGCAAGGTCCAGTGATGCCGAATGTGGTCCCTGGTTACCCTGGTCCAATGCCAGGACCAGGTATGCCGCAAGGGCCCATCGTGAACGTGCTGCCCGGATCGCCGTCAGACGGTTCCCCGGTTATTCCACCCCCGCAGCCCTATGAACAGTACGATGATAGGCCGGTCGTGCCTTCTGGACCATATACTCCTGGGAGACCTCCCACCGGCTACTACCCAGATGAAGGAAGGTCCTATGGCAGTGAGTCTCCTGTATTCATCCCGCCGGAACAACCACAGCAGCAGCCTGGTCAACCCATTGTGATTCCTCCTCCCGGAGCTTTTGGAGGTGTCCCTCAGCAGCAGCCTCAGCAACCTATAGTTATTCAGTCGGCGCCTCAGCAGCAACCACCTACCGTGATCCACGTCGAGCGATCCCCGTCAGAGTCTGAGACTCGAAGCGGACGAGGATCTCCCATTGAGTACGATGTTCCTCTCAGTCATAGACCTAGCCACTACAGACCTGAATCGCCCCAGCAAGTTCACCTTGTGAGCGATCGTCCTGGCAGTCCTCGGATGGGGTCTCCCAGGCATCCGGAGGTCCAGCAGCCTATCATTATCCAGCAGCCTCCTCAGCAAATGCAGCAACAGCCTATGCAGCCTATTGTCGTCCAGCCGACGCCGAGCGGGGGTCAATACACACAGCATTCGCCACCTATAGTCGTAAGACGATCAAGGACGCCGTCCCCGGAGCGACAACAGCCGACAATGATTATAACTCCTAGTGGTCAACAGGTTGAACATGGACCTGGCCAACCGATAGCGGTAGTGCCCACTCCTCAGCCACAGCAACCTCCCGTTATCGTCCAGACAGGAGCACCCACCTCGCCTTACCATGAATATGGGCCTTCTCGTGGTGAATATAGTCCTTCTCGTGGCGACCGCCGTCGCAGAGGGTCTTATTCTCCTTCTCGTCAATATGGTGACCGCGGAGAATCGCCGTCACCACCTTCGCGACGTCGTCACCGACGTGACTATGATGAGGAAGATGAACCTGGACGAACCATCATCCTTGAGCCCCGTGGAAGGGGTCGGACTCGTTTCGTGGATCGACACGGCCGGTCACGATCTCCTCGGCCTTCCGACCACGTCGTGGCTGTTGTGCCCCATGGTGGTCATGGACGCTCTTATTCCCGATCGCATCCGAGGGACGAGGGGGATTATGGGAGTCGCAGTGGAAGCCGCACCCCTCCGCGCGTTGTCATTGCAAGCGATCATGGAGGCTCTCCTCGTGCCCCTACTATCATTTTGCCGCCGGGAGGGAGTGGTGGGCACTATCCGTCAGAGCACGACCCCGGGCGAACTCATTCGCCGAATGTCCTCCGCCGTCAGCGCCACCCTACGGAGTACGACCCTGGACATGGAGGTCCTCAAATCGTGCGCATCCCTCCTTCAGACGAGTCTATGCCTAGGTCCCCTGGTGATGAACGGGATCCTGGCGGATTGCAGCCGTCGCATTATGGCAGGTCCCCATCGCGAGGACACGACTATGCTGAAGAACCCGATTATCCGGAGCCTCACCAAGTTCCTCCTCCACGTACGCCGCGTACACCCAGTCGCGCCCCATCTGCACCTCTCAGTCGTGCAGGCACCCGCCGAACAGCACCAGTTCAAAGAACCCCATCCGGTGCCACCATAATGGAGCCGTATGAAGAAGAAGGAGAGCCCCACATGACTCGTGCTACGCACATCCCAGTGGGTAAGTGAATCGAATTGTCTTGTCATCCAATACGTCTCACATCATTATGTAGAAGAGTATGAACCTCCCCCAGCCAGCCCTCCACCGGGCGTTGTAAGGTCTGTCACCCCGCGGACGGAGCTGCATCATGAATTGATGCGGCAGCCGTCCACGGCACCCATGTTCCCTACTTTGCCTGCTGAGGGGCGCGAAGCCGAGGTTCGACGAGCTCCCTCTCGTAGGACTGGCTATCAACCGTCAGTTGTTCCCGAAGAAGCTCCTCTGATGCATGAAGAGGCTGGGCTGGGACGGGCTCCCTCTCGTAGGACGGGCTATCAGCCGTCAGTCGTTCCTGAAGAAGCCCCGATGCACGAAGAGGCTGGGCTTGGACGGATGCCGTCTCGAAGGACTGGGTATCAGCCTTCTGTGATGGGCGACCAACCGACCATCGTCCGCATCCCTGGGGACACGCATGAAGTGTCTGAACATGAAGAAATGATGTATGCCGACGCCGAGCGTGCCCGGCAGGAACGCTTTGAGGACTTGCAGAGACGTCTCGAGCAGACCGCGGAGGTGGCCGCTCAGGACGAGGAACGACGCGATCAAGAGTTTAGGCAGCGCGAAGAGGAGCGAGACCACATGTTCGCCGACAACGAAGCTCGGCGCGACGAGGAAGCTGCACGGCGGCGCGATGAGATATGGTCAGACTTGGAGCAACGCCTGGCAGCGGGTGGCCTGCCACCGCCGCCGCCGCCCCCCGAGTCTATCGAGCCCGCTCCGGAGTCTGTACCGCCGATCCCCATTCCCGAGCGCCTGGGCGATGAGACAGCGTCCATCATCCCCTCGATGATCGAGGCCGCCAACCAGCACGCGCGCGAGATCCGCGAGGTCGTGAACATGGAGCGAGAGGAGCTCATCAAGGAGCGCGAGGCGCACGAGGCCGAGCGGGAGCGCATGCGCCAGGAAGCGGAGGCCGAGCGGGAGGCGTGGCAGCAGGAGTGCGAGCAGCGGATCCGGGAGCTGGAGGAGGAGCTCGCGCGCACGCGGGCGGAGCTCGACGACGAGCGGCAGCAGCGCCAGACGGAGGAGGCGGAGGCGCGCGAGCGAGCGAGGCAGGAGGCGCTGGAGCGCGACGAGATTGTGCGCGGCCAGCTGAGCGATATCACGAACCTTGCGCAGCAGAATTTGGAGTGCTGCACGAGCAAGAGGCAGATTATGGACGAGCGGTATGCCGAGAAGGAGGCGCGCAGGGCGGAGAAGGACGCGCGGTTCCAGGATTTGTATGATATGGTCAACCGGATCGTGGAAGACCGTGAGGCCGAGCGCCAACGTGCTGAGGAGGAGAGGTTGGCGGCTGCAGACAAGCCAGGTAGGAATTGGGATGCCGCTGCTGCTGTAGCATTACTAACGCCTTTGTTAGGGATCGAGGCCGTCATGGCGGAGCTGCAGAGACAGAACCAAGAGCTGCGGCAGCTGCTCGCCGAAATGGCTGATAGTAAGTCTCTCCGCGGATAGTCTTCTTTGGAGCGGGTCTGACAAGTGTTGCACCCAAGGCTGGCGCGCAGACAGCGCTAGACAAGCGGAGGAGACGCTCAACGCCGTGCGCGCGACCGCGCAGGAGCAGGTTCCGTTCAACGTGCAGGGGTACCTCGACGAGTTCAGCAAGGCGCTCGCGTCGGAGGTGCGCATGCTCCTCGGCGAGGTGGGCCGCCTGCGCGAGGAGCGGCGGGCGTTACAACAGTCAGTGTTGTTTCCCCCCTTCCCCGCTCTGGTTTCGCGCTAACAATACTGTAGTGAAATTGGGTTCCTGCTGTGCACGCGCAGCAAGTACGGCCCCGGGGGCGAGTTCGATCCGGAGTGGTGCGTGTCCCGCCCCCCCCTTTCTTCCTCTCCTCACCTAGCTCATATCTTTCCAGGCGCCCGCAAGACGCGCCGTACATGGCCGGCGCGCCGCCGCCGCCACCAGCACCCGAACCCGCGCCTGAAGCGCCGCCGCCGCCGCCCGAGCCCATGGGCCCCGCACGCCCGGGGTGGCGCACCGTCCTCCCACGCAGCACGCGCAGACGCCGGGGAGGCGGGGGGCAGCCGACGCCCGCCCCGCCGGCCGAGCCTGAGGAGATGCCGCGGCCGGGGGTGTCGAGCTGGGCGACGTGGCAACGTGAGTGTTGACTTGATATCATGGTTTCGTGAGGGGTGTGCTGATGGCTGATTGCGGGTGTGTTGTAGCGGACCCTGCGTTCGCGCCGTCGCCGTCGATGCCGCCTGCGCCGGAGATGCTCGCGCCGCCGGAGCCGCAGGGGTTGTTTGGCCCGCGGTCGCCGCGGGATTCGTACCGCGGGTAGAGGTGGTTTGGATGTGGATGTGAATGTAAAGTTATCTTTCGCCTAAGTATCTGCTGGACGTTCTGCTTGTTCTGGTGTACTATAGTGCTTATACCACAGGTGTCTGTGATATCCGCTCTCTTTTGTTTGATTTCTAGAGTTGTTTTTTGTTTTGCTTTTGTTTGATTTGATATTGGATGACGACTTGTTACGAGGAGGATGGAGGGTGCTATAATTCTAGTCGGTCGTTGACGTTGAGCTATTCACATAGTCCATGTTATGCTATGCTATGCTATGATGTATGTGTTATGTTGGATTGAATTTTTTTGTTTTGTTTTCTCCGAACTCTCCTGACCTCGGTGGCACGGGGGAAAGGCAAGGCAGTGGGCACCGAGACAAGGTATCCAGAACCAAGAGGTATACTATTATCCGTCGTACATCCAGAGATACAAGATAGATAGTCAGTCAGTGGTCAGCGGTCAGGGTTAGTTACTAGTAGTGTGCACGTAACATGGAGGCGGAGATGATGGTATTGGTAATGAGAGTACTTGTGTTGGTGGTGGCAGTGGCAGACAGGATATGGACAGGAGATAGATGAGCAGGCGGCAAAGACCGGTCGTGGATAGGAGAGGAGGAATGGGTGGTGGGGTGGAGGGGGGGAAGGGTGGATGGGCGGGCCGTTAGCGCGACTCGACGGCGTCGGTGGTGGGCGCGGGGGTTGGTTCTGGTTCTGCGGGCTCCGGGGCGGGGGCGGCGGCAGAAGACGTGGACGCGGGCTCTGGCTGGGTGGGTTCGGGGACCGTCTTCTTTTCTGCGGCGTCCTCGCCCTCCTTGTCCGCGGGCAGCGGGGCGTCCGCGGCGGCCTCCTCGTCCGCGGGCAGCGGGGCAGCGTTCGGCTCGCCCTGCGTCTCCTCGGGCAGCGGGGCAGCGTTCGGCTCGCCCTGCGTCTCCTCGGGCAGCGGGGCAGCGTTCGGCTCGCCCTGCGTCTCCTCGGGGTCCTCGGGCAGCGGCACGGCGGCCTCCTTGTCCGCCGGGAGAGGCTGCGGGGTCTCCGCGGGGAGGGGCACGGCGGCCGCCTTGTCCAGCTCCTCTCTTTCCTTGTCCTCCTCTTCTTGCTCCCCCCCCTCCTTCCCCTCCCCGTGCTTCTCCTCCCCTTCCTTCTCCTCTCCTTCCTTCTCCTCCTTACTCCCCCCCTCCCCGCCGTCGAGCTCGACGTCCCTTACGCCCTCCCTGATCTCCTTCACCCCAGCCGTCTCCTTGGCGGGCGCGGGGCTCTCGTCCCTGCCCTCCGCGTCTGCAGGCCTGGAGCGCTTGGCGGGCGCGGGGCAGTCGTCGTGCTCGTCGTCCTCGCGCGCGCGGCGCTTCGTGCCGATCTGGGGCGCGTTGGAGGTCGCTGGAGTCAGATTGATTTGAAGGGGTTACGGAGGAGGGGGGGGGCGCGTGTATGTCAGCACCGACGCGTCTGTGTCGAGAACGAATACAAGGAAGGAGAGGGGGGAGGGAGAGAGGGGACTGACCGTCGTCGCTCCAGGGCCGGTCGGGGCGCAGGAAGAGGGAGCCGGAGATGCGCCGGACGAAGTTGTGGAACATGCTTGCTTGCTTGATTATATATGGGTGGCTGTGAGTGTGAGTGTGAGCGTGGAGGGATGGGATAGAGTCGGCTCGTACCTGAAGAAGCGCGGATGTGGATTTGGATGTTTGTGTCTGTTTGGTGGTTGATGGGATGGAGGTGGTGATCGCTTAAACTTGGGAGGGGAAGGAGGACTTGAGTAGGGTGAAGGAGGGTTGGTATAATGGAGATGGAGAGTATGATTACGGGAGCTTGTGGAGGAAAAGAATGGGTGGAGGAGGTCGAGAAGACGCCACCAGCGCGTGCCGCGCACGTGGACCACCCGATCGAAATGAATGACAGACGCGACTTGGTCTTCAGTTTTGGTACTCGACTCGCGCACGCACGATGCGAGCACTCGCCCGCCCACTCGCCCGCCCGCTCCGGTCTCTCCGCCCGAGCCCGCGCCCCATCCGCGCCGTCGTCCACCGCACGCACGCTCCTCCCCTCCGTCACGCCGTCCCCTCCGTCCCCGTTCGCCCCTGCCGCCGCTACTCGACCCGCCACCCCTCTTCCCCCTCCGATCAGCCGCAGTCCTTCGCCGACCCCACCCGCCCCGACCTCTTCTACCACCTCCTCCCCCCGCCCACCCCGCTCTCGCCCACCGCCCCCGCCTTCGCCCTCTCCTTCCTCCCCTCTCCTCCTCCTTCCGCCACGTCATGTACAATCATCGGCTGGCTCCCCGCCGAGGGCGCCGGCGAGCAGGCGGGGCTGAACGATTTTGTCGAGAACCGTGAGTCTCGTCGCTCGGGATTGTCGCGTGCCAGTTGATTAAGGCGTGTGCAGCGGCGTTTCGGGACGTTCTGCACGAGGCGATCAAGGAAGGGCTGCAGGAGGGCGTGGACGACGTGCAGAGGAACGGCGCCGCCGCGCTGCAGGAGGGGTGGATGCACATCCACGGTGCGCCCCGTCCCCCTCTCCTCCCCTGCCTGCGATCTGACCCCCGTACCTCCCGCGCACCTCTCCTCCCGTGCCGCTCTACCCGCCAGACGCGCGCAACCCCCCCGCGCTGGGCCGCATCGGCGACCCGGACGACATCCTCGCCTCCGTGCGCGTCGAACACGGCAAGGTCCGCATACACCTACCGCGCGCGCGCCGCGTCCACTGACGTCTGTAACCTGCCCCAGGTCCTCGCGTCCACCTACCAGCCGATGCCGTCCTACCGCCTTGCCACCGCCGACGGGCTCACGACGCTCACCCCCGCGCTCGCGGCCAAGCTCCTCGCCGTCCTCCGGGCCCGGGCCCGGTCTGAGCGCGCTTGAGCCAACTCCTGCTGCAAATGGATGGGACGGACAGCCCACTTGTTATTGTGACGCGTGCACAGGTGAGCGGGGGGTGATGCCACCACTCGGGAGCAGGGCAAGCAGGCCGTCGGTGCGATACATCCAAGTGGAAGCCCGCGGGTGATAATATATGGTACATCACACGTTGCACCGGGTAATTGATCTCGTTATATAACAACGGAACAAGTGCACGTCCTCTCCGCGAGATCCTATGCACCCAAGCCCCAAGCCCCATGCTAAAGTCCTCGTCACCGCCCCCGCGCAGAAGCAGGTCTATAGCAGGGCATACATATGCACCGGAGGAGGAGGGGCAGATATCTACATACGGGGTTCGTACCGGCCATGACCCAGAGTACGTCGCGCGCCGCGGTCCGCGTCCCTCGCCGCGCACGGGTCCACATCTCAGCAGCGATGACGGTCTGCTGATGCCAGTGACAGCGCCGCACTCCGCGTCTCCGCGAACGACGGGAGCGAGGGTGCGGGACTCCGCTCGGCCTGAGGGGATACCGGGGTCAGCTCGCCGACGCCCGGGCATCAGGGGCAGGGGCAGTATCGCCCAGGTTCTATGCGGGGCTCGCAGTCGCAGAAGGAACCCGCGAGCATAAGCAGGGGGTACGGCCGGATCGGACAAGGCTGACCGCGTGCACCGATCCTCCGCGCCGTCAAGGTAAGCACATACATGTATAGCCTGCGCACTGCTTGTGCGCGATATCAGGTTATTCTAGATGGATGGATAACTATAGTACGGCGTGGGGTAAACTTGTGGGCCCGGGCTTCCATTTCGCCGGACGCCCCGACCGCCTGCAGCTGATGCGGTTCAGGTAGAGGACATGCGATCGAGCGCTCATCTTCGAGTCGTTCAGTTTGCCGAGTCTGGTAAGCCGCCGCCTCAGGCTCCGGTCTCAGTGGCCGTGATCGATATCCCGTCACAAGTTGGGCGAACTTGTGAAGCACCCGGGCCCGACGCAACGTGGTGCTGAGCGCTGAGCTATCATAGTCAAGAAGCACAGCTGCCTGCTCGAAGATGGCGTGCACGTAGGCCGGAGAAGCCTTCTGCGGGAGTCGAAGTAGACATGGCGGTGGGCGACTCGACCCCGAGCTGCCCGTACGCGGTGGAAGAGTCGCGATAGATGCCATCTTTGGTGCGTATCAGTCGCATGAATGTGGACCATGGCTCCCGTGAGCTCGCATGGCTGATGCCTCCTTGATATGTCCCTTGACTGTCCCAGTTCGTCGAATTGTACCACAGCAAGATTAGAATCTGGCCCCGACAGAGGCAGGTCTTGCGCCAATATATAACTTATTCGCCGTCCTATGAGCGCGTTGAACTTCCTGATCCTGTCTCTGCTGCTCGTATGGACCGCCGAGTCCGTACGACATCATGTGGGGAGAAAATAGGGCTCAGAAAACTTGAGATCGAGACACACCAAGAGAATGACTTGTCCCTGAGTACTTGATGAAAATTCCAAGGTCGGAGATGGTTACCGCATGCTGCCAGTGGTGAGTATAGCTGGAACCTGATATGAAAGGTGACGTGCTCTTTTCATTTCGTGTCTTGAAAGGCAACAAGATATGTTGCCGGACCATTCGGCGGGCGCCCCGAGTAACTGAAAGAACGACATCAGCGAATCCGAAGGGACGTGCGGTGCGCTGGAGGGGACTGTCCGTATAAACAGGTACGCCTGCTTCCAACTCGAGCCGGGTCCTCGTGTGGTGACCTAGTCTGTGCCTATCGCGTGAGGGTCTTCATATCAACATCGGTTCTCATGATATCAACATGCCTAAACTGCCCGACCATGGTATTCATATTCCTGGCTGTCAACCCATAAATGCAGATGCGCTCACAGTTCTGTACAGATGCCCAAAGTAAATGTACCTGGAGATAACCATACACTGGGTACAATACCCGTATTGAGCCACTGAGAAAGTGTGAAAGGAACTGGACAAAGGTCAAATTTTGTTCATAGTGTTGCCTTGCAAAACAAATGAAAGTTCAATGAACAGTGCTGAACAAAGATCATATCCTGTGTCACAATCAGATTTTTGCACACTCAAAAGTAGTATTATTCT